TGTTTAATATAAAAGTCATTATGATTGAAAAAAGCGAAAAACTGGACGACTTAAATACTAACCATTGTACTCTGAGAAACAATGGGTGATAATATAATAGCGTTCGCGTATTGATAACCAATAAAATTCTTTATTGAAATTTTTATCGACTCGATAATGTAATTTTAAAAATCGAATTTTTATGTCTTACTATCTTGTAAAATATTGCAATTAAAGATATACATTTTGAATTGCATAAAAAGGTCCTGATGATATGACTAAAACGATGGTAATTTTTTGAAAGCATAACATTTTTACAAGTGTCTTAAGTTAGTGTACTGGAGTAACAAAAATTGACACCATATCAAAGGTACACTATTTCCACTTTACACACACGTAATTAAAAGAGGAATTATCTAGCGGTCATCTTTACGCAATAAACCTTTTTTATGTCGTTAAATAATAATTTATACATAGGATAATAAAACTTTCAACAACAACAATGCATGGATTCATATTTATATGTCCACATCTATCAATATCTTTGTGATAATGCTCACTTAACTTAAAAATCTGGACTTAAAACTTTAAAGAGTATGGTCCACTTGTACTTTTTTTGGTGCCCAAAACATCGAGGGTGTATAGACGTGAAGAAGGTTCGGCGGGCGCCAAGATCGCAACGATATCGTCGCTAGAACAGTAATCGTCAATAAAATCTCAATTTAGATGGTGCCGATAGCACGTGAGTTACGGACGGACAGTCCGACCGAACACGAAAACCTACTCGGCGGTGGAATGCACCCCGCGACAGGATCCGCTAACGAATTACGTACTTCAAATTGGATGTTACGGACACATCATTTTTAGTTTTTTTCTATAGTCACCTTGACGAGTCGATAGGGCTTAGTTTGAGAAAAAATGTATATATATGAAAGTTACTCTTTAGTTAACTTGAAAATAAAAGTAAACAGAACTTCAATTTCACTTAAGTAATGCTGTAGTTATTAGTGTAATGTGTGAAAGGATTGCTTAAAAAACAATTCTGAAACTATTTACGACTCAAATGTGTTAGAAAAATGCAATGAGATGATCTGATGATGAGCTGATAAGGAGACCTGAAGCAAGGCTACGCTCCGACGGCATTTAATGAGTACTTGACGCCTCGCCGCAGCGGTCCGCCTACGTATATTTACAACGCAACTTTTTCCTTTTCGCCCCAACCCCTACCCCGCTGGTCAGTCACAGATAAGGATTTCGAAGTGGGCATTTAAAAATAAATTTGTCGAAAGTGATAAATGATGGATATAAGTTTTATTATTTCAAATTAAATTAACGACCCGGGCCCGGCGTCTACCTTTTCTCACATTAGAGGTATCTTATCTGGAATGATTGCTTCCATTACCTTAGAGAATGGACACGTTGTTTTGTAGGTGAGGAAAGATAAAGAGATTAATGCGTAAAGCAATTAATTTTGATTGAGGTGTGTTTTATTAAGTAATTGTTTTTGTTTTCGGTGCGGATTCGAGACGCTCTGTGAAGCTCTCATTGTGTCCAACTCCAATTCCGATGGAGAGGTGGCCGATGCCGCCTTTTTTATTCACTGTGTAGACTGTAAACTATTGTGTTTTGTTTTCAACGTTTGATTTAATTAAGCTTTATTAACCGTATGCGATTAAAAGATTGTTATGGACAACAGTATTTTTATCTTTCACAATCTACATTGATATAATGTAATGTAATATTAACTGTTTTGTCGTAGTTTTTTGTATGTAGTGGCCTTTTATAATTTTCTTATAGGATATTAAGCTCTATTTATGCACATAGAGATCCAAAACAGTTCTATTCTATTCTATTTGTTAAAGAATTATCATAAGTAAGAAACAAATAACTTGCAAATACATGTAAAGATAAAAGTAATATGTAATTAAGTAATCTTAACGATAATAATGTAAACAAACATCATCGGTTTAAGATGTGTCGTTGAGTTTGGTGGTCGCGTGAACTTTCCCACACCAGGCTTTAATACATTTTCCATGTTCCAGTTAGCGCACCATAAATTGATTAAGGGTCTTCGGCTACGCTCAAAAGTTTTTTGTGCCGCACAACAGGTAACTCAGGCAATGCGTGGCAACGCTCGTATGCTGTACCCGTTCGATGACTGGAGGGTTTAAAGTTCGAATCTGTTATTCTATTATGATTTATCAATATGTCCTGTTTTCGAAATATAAGGACTGTTACATTTTATATATATTTGGTACTCTATGTACGTCAAAAATCTCTTGCAATGCATGTAAAAAGGTACTAAGAATTTGTTAGTAAGAAGTTGCCCGTTTGATATAATACCTTATGATATGAAAAATAAGAAATATTACACATTAAATGGTAAGATTTAGTGAACTCAATTCGACGAGATCTTTACAATAGAACGCAATTATAATCCTCTAGGTCTAATACTACTGCATTTAACAAAAGCGGGGTATAAAACGGCCAATCTTTGGCCATTTGGCGGCAACAGCGACGTAATGGAGTGAACTAATTTCCTTACAGGAAATTGCCTTCCTGCCCAAGTGAGTGCCATTTCCCAAAAAGCGTCAGCTTAAGTTGAGGACGCGTCATCAATCATTTTCTTTTGTACAATTGCAGCGACGCATTTCTATTATTAAACACAACTTGAATTTTAATAAATAATATTTTTATGCAAAAAGAAGGTAGATAAAGGGTGAGGACTTGTATTTAGCTTTTTTTTAAATGTTGTTTGTTTTTATGTACACAGAAGAGGTTAAAGCATGTACGGTTCGTGTGTTTATTATGTACTTCACCAAACCACAAAGTTTTGTTTGCTCTACCAGTCTTATTTACACTTGATATACTTATCGGTAGAGTACCACCATTTTATAATGACGTAGACGCAACAAAGTTTCAGTACATAAATCATTCCCTTATCTCATACAATGCTTCCTAATACTCTAATATATATGATAATTACCTACTGGATTATTATTTCACACACACGGCAACATGTTTGCCAAACAACATGAAAAGTTCAACGATCTCCAAACAATACCATACGAATATGCAAAAAAATAAGTCGACAAAGAATTTCTAAAATATAAATAACAACAGTAGGTTGTTATTACGTAGGTCTTTGAGTAAGTAATTTAGCTTGGAGTTTTGGTGAGGTCGAGTAAAAAAACATATATGAGAAGAGGTGACAATATAAATAACAATTTGGCCCACCCCGTTCGAATGTGGTTCGCCTGGATTAGCATAAGAATGCAGCATCACGAACGCCCACGAGCCCGCACTGTCCCTTGTCGTCTCTTTATGTCTCGAATTTAATTTTGATTTACGTCTGTCTATACAATCGTACGCGAATGTATGAGGATAATACCGCCGCAGTCGACACTTATGACTTTACTTTTCATGTTTGATATCCAATACCGCCAAACTTTAACGCCAAAACGAAATTCGATGTGGAGTCCTATATTTTTATATTTAATTTATGTAAGCACTCAGTTTTTTATGTGCACGCGAGTCATTTACAAAAATAACTTGGACATCTTTATTTCGTTTCGTATGACAATACACTTTCGGAACAAAGCTAAAAAAGTTGTCGAATGACTGTAACTTGAGTCTACTTTCACTCGTACCTTATAACAAAAAGAATTAGCTATATTTCGTTTGATGAACCTAACATTACAGTAATAATATCATATCACTAATTATTTCTATACGTGATAAATCACGTTTGCACAACATGCAAATAAAAAACGCAGGTCTAATATTAATCACTTTAAAAATTCAATTACCGATTCCCGTGACATTTTATGAGGTATTATAAATCTACAAAGAAACGTTAAAAGCCACTTAATTTGCAAACATATAAAATTTTAAGTACCATAAGGACGTAATATTCGGTCGTATAACTTATTATAACTTAACCCTTTTTAAGTAATAACTTAATTATTAAAGAGGGACGACGAAGCTTGTTATAATTCACTGCCCACGTTGACTTGACATAATCGAGAGCTTCTTAAGTATCTTTTATGTTAATGTTGCCAAAAGTGTACCCTCTTAGCGGTAATTAATTGAAGGTAAGGGGTCTTTTGACATTAAGGTGATGTATAAGGGGTAATCGCGTTGCTTAATTATTTTAAAACACTACTTGAATAATAATGCTTCGCCTTAATTTTGTTTACGTTTATACTTAAAATATTAGGTGCGAGGTCATCACTTAAAAAGATATGATATGGATAATTAACGTATTGCAGAAGATTTGTGGTTTTATATATTAACATGCGCTTTTTTTAAAGCAGTAAAACTGATAATATGAGTTCAGCTTATGTTTATGTTATCATCTTATTTCTAACATATGTACAAAAATATATCTTAGATATTTTGCTGTAAAAAGTATATTCTTTGTTAAAATTCGTGGAGATATTTATTTAATTATATGTTATTCAAATTTATAAGAATACAAATATAAATATAGAATAACTTAAATGTTATATTACAAAAATAAAGCAATGTGAGGCGGTCAAAATAAAATAAGATGAATGACGGTGCTCAGTGTTAATACGCATTTAAGATAATATATTTTACCATACAAAAGTAAATGTCCACCTAATAAATAGTGGCGGTCCTTATCGCATTTCGAGGCAGGACAGTAAGAATCCGATAAGGACGTGGGTCCTTTTCGACCGTACAGTTTTATCGCTCTTAACTTTTTCGTTTGCGTTTGGATTCACAATATCCTAAAAGGGCTGAACTTTTGTCCGTCTCGAATCGTGTTTAGTGACTCGTGAAGTTTGAGAACGCGCGAGACCGGCGTAATCGGTGTCGAATCTTAATTTAGTTGTCTTGTATCGAGGGACGGCCGCCGTGGGGTTATATTATTAAACTATATGCGACCAATGGGGACATTTAAGAATGCCGCCATTAGACTAATGATCCTATTCGACTGGAAAAATACCCGGCGCTGCGGCATCTTGTGGTGTAATAAATACATTTGACGTACTTACCACGTTAACGAACTCCTGAAATGTGATCGCATCGGATGTAGCACTGCGAGCTTTATCCAACAATATCTAAGGGACAAGCAAACACACATTAGTTAGATATATTTGTTATTGCCCAGCGTCTTATTAATTACGAAATACTTCATACGAAAAACTTTGTTGAACTAGGTATAAGTATTCATTTGAAACGAAGGACATTATATATCGCACTTTACAGTACAGTACAGTACTTTAGGTTCGTCTGGTGTTGGACAAACACCGTTCTTAGTATTTTAAAGTCGAGACATTTATATTATGTATTTTAACTGTTTAAGAGCCGATTGACAGACAAACAATTGATTTAAACTACATTTTGAGTTAAACTATTTAATTCTAAGTTTAGAACAGTCTGTAGTTTTATTTACCTCATGTTTATGAGGCGGCACCTGAGCAATAAAATCTGGGTTCTGTAGCGTCTGCAGGAAGTCGGGCCACGGGATCTCACCGAAGCCCTCCGGGTCGAACTGCAACAAGGACGCTACATTGACACCTGTGCCCCACGCCCATCGCCATGAGACACGGTCACGTTCAAAAATAACAAATTGAGTTTTCAACGCGCCAACCGAAACATCATAATGGTGGGTGTCGCCCTCGACGTGCCATCATTATGTGTAAATTCTGTTATAATCATTGCGAGCATTTCCAAAAAGGAGTCGACAAAAAACAGCCCAAGCGCCCCCTATCTTCAGAGCCGCTTATCTGAATGTTTGGTACGTGATGAGGTATCGTTTGTGCCGCGGCGCTACCGCCTCTTTATCTGCCTATAAAACCTCCTTTTTTTTACTCCATACCGCTTCTGTACATTTTAATCAGTCAGAAACAAAAGAATATTCCGTGAAATTTGTTTTGAAGTCGTAAACGCCATTTCTGTAAATTATGCGGCACTCCTTGAATATTTTTCTTTGGGTCGGAAAAATAAACCATCTGGTTTATAGTAGTAACATTTATTACTCTTTAATATTGTACTAGTACAAGTATTACTACTAAATTAGTGGGACATAACTATTTAATATCCCATTAATTCGTAAATAAGCATTAATTATTAAAGGCCGCAGTAATTTTATCCTTAAGGTTTGGACAAATAACCTCTAAATTGATGAGTTGCAGCAGCTTATAAAACTTTTGCACCGAAATTATTACTTTTTAAATTTATTTGTACCAAATATAATATTTTTATCAGACGAAAAATTTAATATTATAACTGCGAAACTCGTCAACGATATAAATTATCGTTTTTGACACGTCACGTATTATGACGACTTTTGTTCCCAAACTACGTATTTATCATCACATATCATCTTAACGGTAATATCATTTAAAACTATTGTTGGCACCTATTTTCCTAAAACTAGAATTTAAAATTCCTAACTGTTTTTATAATATTAATTCACCTACATATCTAACGTAAGATTTTATTGTTACAGTCTTGGTAATTATTTTAAGTAAAAATTCCGTATTACAGGATGATTAAAATATGTTGAACTTTTACCTTACTTTTTAGTAACAGTTTATGGTTTCTGTTGCTTGAAAGCTTAGCACAATTTGTTAACACTTGACGATGTCATCATGTATATAAATTCATCTCGTTTTTCTAAATTAGTTATCTGATGAAATCTCTCTACTTAATCTTGATGACATCTTCCGGGCTGCAAGTTATTTTTGCGTCTTAAATTAAGAAAACTACGGATATATAAAATGTCCCCCGAGATGTTTTCTTCTAATATATTTAACTACAAACTGTCGCAAGTATTTTAAGGTTAGCCTTTGATGATTTAAAAACACTCAAATGTCGGATTTTTTACGTGTGTTGCTAACGCATTGAAGATACTTTCAAAAAAGCTAAAAAATATATTTTTTAAAATGTACTTACACGATCGAAGAGAAGTCGCCATTTCTGAAACAAATGAAGCAATATGATTTGAATCAAATTAGTGCTTTTTTATTTAGTTATTTATTCATTGAAATTTTAATGAAACGATATGAAAGATAATACGAGTTCAAATATAAAACGGAAGTGTCGTTTAAATGTTTTCTGGATACCCTCGCCTCCTATCAAATATCTGTCTACCCGCATCCTCACATTTAAATTACTTGAGTTTACTACACTTAGTTTAGAATTTAAGAAGTAGTTTTTGAACTGTAGTTAATTCACTTTGTCCATAAAAGTTATGTTTTTACAACTTACATCATGCATCAACTCCCTTCTAATCTCCGCCTCATCAAGTTCCGAGCCGAGATCCGTATGATCCGTGTCGTACAGCTGTTCCGCGGCCCGGGACAGTGAGCCCAAGGAATCCCGGGCGGAGGCGAGCGAGCCGGTGACCGTTGGCAGTACCCCCGCCTCAATCCCGGACTCCATGGAGGTGTTGGCCGACATGACGGTCGTGGTCGGCCGCACCTCACCGCCATTGCCCCCGCCGCCCACCCACACCGACATCTTGCCGACAAAACCATCCACACAACTCCGCTCTTCGATTTACGATTTCAAACAATTATCGACATCTTGCTTCTATGTTTACATAAATATATTTATGTGAAAGATTATACGATGCTTTCTCTTCTTAAACATGTAACTTTCAAAATAGCATCAAAACTTTGGACAATCATTTGGACCGATTAATGTACCTTGACTTATATACGTGTATATATATTATGGACAACGTTAAATAATGCTTATGTGATCTGCCATTAACAAGTGCAACAGGCAAATGGAGGAAGATATTAAGGCACGATGTTAAAAATTGTATCCTGGTTCCGGTGTACCTGAAATGTAAAATTAATTTTCGATATAACAAATTCCATAGGCAATCAAGACAAAAATACAGCTTCTGTACACAAAACTTAAGCCTTTCATTATGTCTATACGATTTATTTTTTAGACTAGGCTAGCGCGATTGGTACAAAGATATTTGCTGTGACTATTCAAATTCAGAATGTTTTGTTTTTATAATTTTGCCGCATCTTTCCAAACCCTAAACAAACCTGAGGGTGCACAATTGTTAATTATATACAGCAAATCACTACGAACCCCTAGCTTTGGATCGGATTCAACCCCCAGCTGTTGCCATGGCAACGATCTATTGGATATTGTCCAACTCCCTCTAAGGACTTACAACAATGCCTTGTTTAGACACGCGTCGAAACTTTAAACTGGTTTTTGTGCAAACCTAGAACTTAGTTTCCTTATAAGCTAAGCTTACATAATTTAATTTACGCAAATCTAATTTGTTGCTGTATTATGTATATAACATTTTGGGTTTAGATAAAAATAATTAAAAGCAACCAAACACACGTACACAAGCAACCAAATAAATGTCCTTAATTTTTAACTATTCAAGATTTCTACAAATACATAAGTGTTTATTTAAAAAAACATATAGCCGGATGCGAAACTTTTCTAGATTTTAACTTAAAAATTCAAGACGAATAAAGTACAATAATATTATGATTAAACATGTAAGTAAATAAAAATAATAAAGTCATAATAATGGTTTAACGTTTGTTTTAATTTAGTCAAAACCGAGTCATAACATAACCTTACCTTACTTAACTATCACTTGAATATCATAAGGGTAACTTCACACTAGATTTCATTTCCACTAATAAATTATGAAACATTTCGTGTCAAATACACATTAGGTCGTACTACGTTCAACATAATTGTTAACGTCAAAACATGTCTTGTTGCAATGAGTGAGAATGGCGTCCAATTCTTCGCACATGCGCAGTGCTTTACTTCTCTCCCTCGCATTTTATGAGAAATCTGCAGCTGAGTAACGTCGACAAGAGGACCAATTGTTATCGCCTATACTTCCTGCTTATTAAGTTCTCTTCTTTCATATGTCCATATAGGATCTGTTTCTATGGGTTATTACTTAACAACTTATTTAACACTTCACAATTAAGCGGTACGGTTGCTCCTTCACAAATCGAAAGGCAATAACATTTTGTTGGTATATTTTACTTTGTAAGGCGCTGAAAAATGTCGAATTCAGGATCCTTTTTTTTCTGGCTTGTAAAGAGATCACAAGAACGTTTAATGAGAAATGCTATATAATTGCAAAAAAAATAAAAAAAAGCAATGCTAAGAATATTTATAAAGTTATAGTGCTTTATACAAATTAGACGGTCAATAGTATAGCCGTATATTTCAGTGTCAGTAGCTTTGATTTTTTTTTATAATACATTTTATAAAACTTTGTATTTTGTCCCATGGGCAATTTTTTTGTGCCGCTCGTATGCACGATTTCGTGCGATTTTACGAACTCATATTGACTTTTGAGTTTCGGATTTTTGGTGCCGAGATACTATCTTTTTCTGTTTAAATAATAGAACTAAATTAAGGGAACAATAATGTTTATAAATAGACTATGTTATAACTACAAAAAATTCTGCTAAATAAACAAATGAAAACAATTTTTCGAGGGCTTCGTTTTACTTTTCTTTATCTGTGCACTGTGTCTTTATTTTATATAATCTGGCAATTTTAGATCGGAAACGTCTTTATTATTTTGTTTTTGTATTTTGTCAATTTTATCAATTTTGCGCGATAAATTCATGTTATAAAACAGTCTCAGGCTAAGTGCGGCAAACAATATACTTAAAATATTTTTTTATTATGCCTAATGGTCGAGCCGTGTTGTTGTTAAGGCGTTTGTCGACAGGTGATAGTAAATTAAAGAATCTAAATTTAAATCAAAGTACGAATAAAGAACCTCTGTTTACCATCAACAGGGATTTCAGTCCGAATAAAAGGTAATTTATTCGCTTCTTTTAATTATATAAAGTATTTCATCCACACATTTAAGCTGGTTAGATAATACATGTAAATGCTATTATAGGTGATCTGACCTTGTTTTGATTGTCAAATACAATTGTAAATATCAAGGAAGTGATAAAATTAATAAACTTGAATATAAAAGTGTATAGATCTATTCGTAGTATAAAATAAATATGTTCACCATTTTACTTTTAATTACCTATTCACATTGTAGGCACTTGACAAACTAAAGCAACCTTTATAATTTATAGATAACAGCCCAATTGGTTAAAAGAAATTGTCTTTTACAGATTGTCAACAGTTGGACAGAATTTGTGCTCTGTTAAACTTACTAGAAGTTACAGTGATAATATAATAAAAATGTCTAAAAGCAATATAGAATCTGCAACAGCAGAAAAACCAAAGTATACTAATCAACTTATAACTGAAAAGTCACCATACTTACTGCAACATGCACACAATCCTGTACAATGGTATCCTTGGGGTGATGAAGCTATTGAAAAAGCTAAAAAAGAAAATAAACTAATTTTTCTATCTGTTGGTTACTCCACATGCCATTGGTGCCATGTTATGGAGAAAGAATCATTTGAAAATGAAGATGTAGCTAAAGTAATGAATGAACACTATGTCAACATCAAGGTGGATAGAGAGGAGAGGCCTGACATAGACCGTGTATACATGTTGTTTGTTATGGCCACAACAGGCAGTGGTGGCTGGCCGATGTCCGTTTTCCTTACTCCGGACTTGAAACCTGTAACAGGTGGTACTTACTTTCCTCCTGAAGACCGATGGGGTAGACCAGGCTTTAAGAGTATTCTCCTCTCTTTAGCTAAGAAATGGAAAGAGAACAAAGCACAATTTGTTGATGCCAGTCACAATATAATGGAAGCATTGCAAAAAATATCTCTAGTCGATTCTGATTCATCTCAGTTGGTGCCCGGAGAGGCAACATGGAATAAATGCGTCCAAAGATATATATCTATCTTTGAGCCACACTTTGGTGGTTTTGGTTTAGCTCCAAAGTTTCCGCAAGCTTCTATATTCAATTTTCTATTTCATTTTTACGCACGTGATAAATCTGATCCTGAAGGAAAAAAATGTCTTGACATGTGTCTTCATACTTTGACGAAAATAGCCAAAGGTGGTATACATGATCATGTATCAAGTGGATTTGCTCGATATTCAGTGGATAATGATTGGCATGTGCCACATTTTGAGAAAATGCTTTATGATCAAGCTCAATTGATTGTTGCATACACTGATGCATATCTTGCAACAAAAGAAGAATTTTATGCTGATGTGGTTCGTGATATAATCAAGTATGTTAACAGGGATTTAAGACATGAGACTGGTGGTTATTATAGTGCAGAGGATGCAGATTCATATCCTTATGAAGGTGCTCCACAAAAGAAAGAAGGTGCATTCTGTGTCTGGGAATATGATGAACTTAAACCACTTCTTGATGATAAGAAAATAAATGAGACTTCTTACTTTGATATATTTTGTGATTACTTCAGTGTGGAAGAAGATGGGAATATTTCCATGGAAAGTGACCCTCATGGTGAATTGAAAAATAAAAATGTGTTTATTGTGTATGGTAGCAAAGAAGAAACTATGTCTAAATTTGAAATTTCATCTGAACAATTTGATGAAGTAATTACTTACTGTATCAACATATTGTATGAAGAGCGACAAAAAAGACCTCGACCACATTTGGACACCAAAATGCTTTGTTCATGGAATGGGCTAATCATAGCAGGGTTAGCTCAAGCAGGCCAGGGGCTAGCGGAGAAGAGTTATGTGGATGATGCTATTAAAACAGCAAATTTTATAAAAGAACACTTATATGATCCATCAAACAAGACATTATTGCATTCTTGTTACAGAGGCGAAGATGGGTCTATTGCTCAAACGTAAGTATAAACATATACATGTACATACTTTAATTAATTATTTTGCTATATCTAGTTATGTAATGGTATATAACAAATCATTTTTTGTTTCAGTAAAGAGCCAATTAAAGGATTTTTGGATGATTATGCATTCCTAATTAAAGGTTTGCTTGATTTGTATGAAGCATCTCTTGATCTTTACTGGCTGAATTGGGCTCGGGAACTGCAGTACAAACAGAATGAACTGTTCTGGGATGATACAAATGGTGGTTATTTTACTTGTTCTACCAATGATGATACAGTGGTTCTGAGACTTAAAGAAGGTAAATGTAAATTACCCACCTTACATTAAATTACTAGAACACAATAATTTTTTGGTTATGATTTTATCACTACTATAAAATTGGATATTTCTTGCCTAAATCTATATTAACAAAAAATTCTGAAACAGGAATATATCTTTAAGAAATTATTAATGTCTTGAATCTAGTCAAGTTGTTACAATTTTGAAGTAATATTCAGTTGTAATGACATATGATATTGTCTAATATTATAAAGTGAAGGGATTTGATAACTTGTTTGCATTGAACAGGCTCCAAACCTACTAAACCGATTTGCAAAATTCTTTAACTGTCGGGAAACTACACTATCCCAAATCTATGTTTATAAGTTTTTTTTTCAATTTTAATTGCAATTGCTAATGGCAATTGCCAGTATAACATTGCGTTCAGCCGGGATCTTTAATTTTGGTTGCTATAACCGAAATATCGTTTAAATCAAAGTCATATTAAGTTATTTGTCCTATGTTTTAAAGATCAAGATGGTGCAGAGCCTTCAGGGAACAGCGTATCGTGCCACAATCTGCAGCGGCTAGCGGCTTACGCAGACAAGAGTGAGGCGGCCGAGGGTGGTGACGTGGAGCGCAATATGGCCAAGCGCCTGCTGACTGTTTTCGCCAAGAGGCTCAACGAGACACCTACTGCGCTGCCGGAGATGATGTCCGCGCTAATGTTCTACAATGATTCACCCACACAGGTAAGATATAGTTCCACAAGGATTTTAGAGTAGTTGGACAAGAACTTTTAGTAACTTGATAGTTGTAGGACTATAAGTTTTTTTTATGATTTTTTTTGCTAATATTTAAATTGATTAGATTTGTTCCAAAATAAATGACCGAATTCAAATACTTTTAATAAGTTAATTTTTAAAATTTACTTTGAACGAGAGTACTTCATATAATTTGTATGACTCCATTTGTGTTGTCACATTTATAACGGATTTGGAATCGTTTGTCGGTCTTGTGATCCATTATTGTCTTAGATAACAGTCTACTTTTAAGCAAATATGAAGCACATCTGTTTGTTTATATCATGTAGGTGTTGATAAGTGGTGCGTGCTCGGACCCGCGCACGCTGGCGCTGGTGCGCGCGGTGCGGTCGCGCCTGCTGGCGGGCCGCGTGCTCGCCGTCGCCGACCCTGACTCTCCCGCCGGTATGTCCGACATACGTGAGTGTGCAACACTTTATAATATGCACATTCATTTTATGTTCACATTTTTATTATTATTTTATAGCGCCCAATCAGAAAGTTGATCAAATTCTATAATGAAATTGTATTTTATTTATAAGGCTTTTAATAATCATTGCAGGCCTTTATAACGCTGGCATGGAATGTTTTGACGCGCTGACGCCAGTTAGTGTTTACATTATGCCAGTTGTATTATGAGTGTTTTGAGCGCTACTGTCCTATTGTACTGGCATAATGTAAACTATCTATTATTCTTTAATATAATAACAATTAAGCTTCTTATAAGGTAAAGGGGTACTTTACTTGACATATTCATACAGGAGGCGTTGCTAACCATACCATTGTTTTACCTCGCCGTTCCATCAATATATGACATTGGACTTGATATTTCTTAGAAGTCTTACCAGAAAATATATCCGTGATATTGGTGTGTAGTTCTGAGCCGCATCAAATGCAGCGAAGTGCCGACGGCGTACGTGTGTCGGCGCTACGCGTGCTCTCTGCCAGTCACCGAGGTGGCGCAGCTCGAGAGCCTGCTCGACGAGCCCTCCAAGCCCGCCCCCGCCCCCACTCCAGCCCCCGCCCCCGCCTCCGCCTCCGCCCCGCACACATAGACATCACATCAGTACTAATGATGACGTAATAAAAGTAAAAATAAAACGCAATATAGAAAAGTTACATATTACTCTTATAGTGTGTTTTACGTTGGGCCAATCGGCTTATGAATCAATCGGCCCAATGGAAAACACTCTTGTTATATTATTAAAAAAAAAAATATTGTTTCAAATAAATAAGCAGTTAGGAATCTCATAATGTAGTTGAAAAAAATATGTTTAAAACGTTCTCAATTTAATATAGACATTATAAATCCTAATTAGTAGATACTCTGTTGTATCAAATCGTTATGAATGTTGGTTCTAGCTTGAATTAATATGTTTCTTTTTTGTACTTTTGACAAATAAACAGGTATTATCGAAGAACTGCTACTTTTACCATGTTGATGGTATATTGTGGTATTTGTATAAATTATTTGATAATTTACTAACAACAGAAATAATCACAATTTTTTATTATCGTTATAATTTATAAAATTTTACATTCTTCTAAATTCTAAATCTATAATCTTAAAAAAAAAAATATTTTATGGTGTTCCATTTTTGAAGAAAGTGTTGTAACAGTCAATAATTGTAATTAAATTTTCTTTATATATTTATTATAGTTTATTACCACTTTTAAGGTTACGTCGTCAACTCCTCAATATTCTCGTTGAGTTGACGAATGAGCGATAACCGTCAGCCAATTCAATGAAGCCATTATAATAAAGGTTTGACGAAGGCGAAATAATAATCTAATAGTGTTTTCTTACAAGATTATTACAATGTTAAAATTTAATCAACATTAGCAACAGTAGTGTGAACCACAAAGTGGCCAAAAAAATATTTAGTCTGAATGTATTGTGATAGAAATATAAACGTTTAAAAGCTCATCATAAAAATATTTGATTTATTCAAAGTTAAATGCAAAGCAATGCAAAAATTTTATTTCATGTTATTTTTGTTGAAAAGATGGTTGTCACATAATGGTTGAAAAACTACATTTGGTAGGAAATTGTCTTACGAATAATATATTCGAAGAGTATTTATTAACCGAAGGTAAGAATACATATGTGAAAATATGTCTAACATTTATATCTTTTTAATTGTATTGTGTATTTTATTGTGGCAACACTTATATTATTTTGTTTTATTATTAATGTCCAGCAATTGCTAGAAGCAGCCAATTTAAATTATTTGTGATATTTAACTATTAAATAAATGTTTAAAAATTAAAAAAACTCGTTTCATTTGGTTATATTTGTATATTTTCTATATCGTATCTATGACACCAATGGGGAACAGTACACATTACATCAATTCTGTTATTGAAATATTTGTCTTTAATATTTTCATTTCATAATTATATTGGATAATCTTACAATTTTACTTATAACTTAATGATTCTTATCAAAATATTTCCTGTATAACACATACGTCAACTTCGCTAAAACTAAATTCATTTACCAAATGGTACTTTAAATTAAGATCCGTTGTGTAGATTAAAAAAAAATCCAGTCCATTGAAATAAAATGAATACCATTTGTCTATCACATAATTTGAAACTATGATCTAATAGTTAGAAGATAATAAGTCGATTTAGGCACGGATCTAACTTACTAAATATTAAATGCAAATAAAAAGCTGCTTTCATACATTAGCAAAATGCATACAGGTTATAAGCAGTGATACTTTGTGCCTATTTGATTTTCGCCATTTTGGCGCTGACTGTTGCTGTGGTGCGGATTCGAACTAACAATAAGAGATAGAATTAACTGTCAGATACTTCCACAGGCACGTGAACGAAGCAAAAGCTGTCATTTCCAAGCATTGAACTATCCATTTATAGGGAGATCAGTGTTTTTGTTTCATATTTTGACAAAGTAGGAACAGCCTCTGTCTCTCTCTGTCATTGACAAAAATGAGATAACAATATTTTTATAGATCTTTAAGCAGTGGAAGCCTAGAATAAGAAATATGCACAAGAAATACATTTTGCTAATGCATAAAGTTGTATTGTACCTGTGTAAAACTAATTGCAGGAAAGGTGTACACAACTAACTTATTTATAATATAAATATAATTGTCAAATTTTATTGAAATGATAAATTATTTTTACTCATATCGCTGACTGACAATGTCATTTACTACTCTACCTAGGTTTCTGAGATAAAATCTCAGTAAAAAACACATCATCCCTGTCATTATTGACAAAACAGATAACAATATGCTATAAACGGACATTTTGGTGTCAGAAACCCATGGTAAGTGATTAATTACATACATGTCTGCTTTTTTTTAATAGTCAGTGATTAGATTCTTCTAAAGGTAAAACTGTTTAGTTCTTTTTTGATAATTTCTCATTTCAATTGAATTTATACACACATAAATATTAAATATCACATTAAGCTAGATCAGTCATACAATATGAACAAGGATACGATAATGACGCGCAGGGGCCATCTAAATTGATCGTTTTATACAAGTCTTGCCGACTTTGGTTTATAACATGTTTATTTTAATTCATTATTTAACACTGAATATGCAAGAAATATCCGAGAACATTTAATATTTCAGCATTTAACACACTACTATAATATTACATTTTATAAAACTTGGGAAGAAAGCAAATTATAAAGCCATACTCACAAATAATCCAACCAAAGTATACGTTTAAGTCAAATGCAAGAGATAATCGGCGAGGTAGATTCAAGATTTTGTTCATTAAATATACAATATTGAAAAATTACACAATCATTATGTATTAAATACTTATTTTTTTGTTATTTTTCATATTTATAATTGGATTTAATACGATTTCATAATATTCAACAAATAAAATGTCAGCCATAATTTTAATTTTACAATAAATTATGATGTCAAAATAAATTTAAAATACAATCAGCGTAAACGCAACAAGACGCGTAACATTGAGATTTTGAGAATTACATCAGTCATTATACAAGATGTATACAATATTTAGACATAATTTATGATATTAAAGCTTAGCGCTAAGTCCTCAAACACAACTCCTTTATTTCAGGAGCAATTTTGATTATTGTTAATTCAATATCATCACTATTTCAAAGTGATATTTAGGAATCACTGGTTAACCAGTACGTCAAGTTATTTCATCAGACGCGGCTCTAACGATCGCTTACATTCGTAAACTGTTTCCAAATAAACGTGAGTTCCATAAATTTAGAAGATTTCTAATTTATGACACATCACATTCATATTCCAGGACGGTTTTATGATAGAAGAGAAGATACCTGAAATACAACAAAATTATATTACTATTCACTATCTACTGCACGCAGCTCCGTCCGCACGGAATTAAAAAAAAAACTTAATTAGTAGCCTGTGTTTTTCCAGACTATGTTCTACATTTATGCCAATTTTCATCGAAATCCATGCAGCATTTCTGAAGATACCTTCTAACCAACATCCATCTATCTAACAATTCTATGAAAAATATTTAAAGTCTGATTGACATACATACCCTTCACTATCTAACACTTCTCGTAGCGAAGCTCTTGTGATCATATGGTCATCGCATTTGAACCAGCTGCCTTTCATCTGACGCACATAAGCGGTGTAATGTCCCGCATCCAGAGAACCCAAATGATTCACTACAGCGAACAATGAATATCGATTATCTTCAAAGATGCCTTGAGGGGCATTATTATTATCAGCACCGGCCATATCTACCGCACGACGATGTGACGACATAAATGGAGTCATATCCAGCTCAGCTGGAAACGATATGAAAGCAGATATCTTCCTGTCAATCTGTGATGAATGTTCAAAGCGTTTAAGATGGAAACTTGCAACTATTGGTAAAGTTTCTAGGGTAAGTTGTTTGGTTGATTCTCTGTACGCTCGACAGTTTGAACATTTGATCTTGGCAGCTGAACCGAGATGCTCCGCTCGTGTGAAACGTTCCAAACAAGCCTGTAGTGATCCGGGCCCGGCTACATCTAAACTGATGTCCCAGAATGGGTCTATGGTGGTGGACACGCCTGAACATGATGTGCAGACCACATCGCTCTGCAGACCTCCTGTGAAAATCTGATCTATGATACAATTGCAGCGACCGTTCTCTTTCTTCTCTATATCTTCAACGCCATTCATACAATGTCTGTAACATACAAATAATAGATAAAAATACCATAGATAAGACTATATTTTTATGAGTCTAGTCAATACGCCAGAGGAGCATGTAAAGACAGCAGATCAATAATGTCTACATTACCTGTGCAGTACGTCAAGCGTGGCGATGAAGAATTCGTGTGCGTCCTGCTGCTCGTAACCTGCCAGGTGCCGCGCGTGCGTCCAGATCAGGTGCAGCAGTCTGTGTAGGGTCAAAGGAGTCTTCGCACCAGAATAAAACTCCTGGAAAACATCATAAAATAATGATAAATGGCAATATGTTGAAAATTTTACATGCAAAATATTGACTATTGAAACTAGCACACAGTTGGAATTGTTAGTAATAAATTCATAGATTTAATTTTCTAATTAATAAAAAGTTTTGTCAATTTTACCTGGAATAACTTGGAGACTTCGCACACGAGACATTTGCCGGAACTTTGCGCTTTGCATTTGTGTTTCTCGGCCAGAAAGTAATCTCGCAGTAAGGGTGTGTGAATGAGTGCCTATAAGATATACCAATACATAATTATTATGATGAAAAACCAGTCGCAAGCGTTACAGACGACCGCATCTTATAGTGATAGTCGACTCCAATTTGCGGAAAGTAACTGGATACTATTAGAACAGCTTCGTATTTCTTACTCACAATTAGATTCGTGTAGTTTGGCCTAATAAATCTGTAATAAGTAATCTTTGACAATTTATTCATAAAATGCATTCATATTCAAGGATAGCTATTTTTGTAAACATAAAACGAACTCTTGTAGCACCCATTATCGAATCGACTCATTAAAAATTAAATTTTGTATTTATATAAAGTGACCATATTGTTTACTTATTAAAGAACAGTATAATAAATCATACGTAATCAATGTAAACAGAACGGAGGGCCGTATCTATGTAACAGAACGCTTATATAAATCAATACAATCCCTTGCGAATGCGCTATTGCGTCGTTAATATTTTAAAGGTCGAAAGTCCCGGGAATTTTACAAGTATTGATTTCGACGTCTCGCTGACGTCCGACGCTATGGAGGCTAGACGCAACCGCATTACAATGCATGCCTTCCAAAGAAATACAAAATTTAGTTATTTTTACTCTCTACAGATCGCTATTTAAAATATGGCAAGGAAAACGTCTTTATTCTTCTGCAACCACTAACCTTGAGTACATATTTACAAAAACAACTTACAAAACGTGTATGCGTACCTATTCAGGTAAAATTTACGTCAGTAACAACAGAAGGGGTCCATTTTAAGCGCAATTCCAACGATTATTGTTATTTCAACTACCTGATTTGAACATATTGTTAAGTTGAAAAACATTGAAGGAATATCACGAAAAAGAAATCGATCTATCTGACGAAAAAGGCAATATCTCTTAAGAGATGAAACTCTTCTGTCGAAATTATCAATTTTCTTTACACATGGTGAGCACTTTTTTTTCGGTGCAGCAGCCATTTGCAATTATCCTTTTACATGCAATGCAATGAGTATCGATTTTAATCTCAAATCGCGACGATAAGCACAAAAACAGACAACCTTTAGCATTACATCTTAATTACGATACTTGGTTGAAAACTGGTTTGCAGGTTAAAATATATGTAATTGCCAGCCACCTCTATAAATACATATTTGTTAAATGGATTGATAAAAATTGTTCTATTGAATACAATTAACTTTTAATTATAACAACACCAATCTAGAGATTTCTACATTTTAAGGCTTGCTGATGGCTACCAAAACCTTGGAAATCAGTTCAGAGAAATAAAATAACTTTAATTAGTACACACCTGGACAATGCAGTTCATGAAGCAAGTAGACCCCAGGTTTTGAAGTCCTCGCAGCCCTATTGTTGTGTGAGGGCTGATGAGTCTTCTCTTGCGGAGACGGCGTAGAGCCATAGCCTCATTGTTGTTAGGTAACCATGGTGTGTATGGCACATTTAATCCTAATGATCTGTTTTACAAAGGTATTCGTGAAAAGGTGAACCAGCAAAACACCTCTACAGATTACCAAGTTGAAATGGATTTAACTTATGAGAATAATTGACTCTTAAAATTGTAAGTAAAATATGTGTTAAGCATTAATTTACAGTCTTGGTAGTAATCTGTTTTGGTAATGAATGCAAACATTTGTGTAAAATGAAAGTGAATAAAATTATATCTTAGGGAAATTTCTAGTAACCTTATACATTCTCAAATCATTAATACACAACAAAAGGTTGCAATCTTCTTAATAGATAAAACAACAGTTATGTAATTAATGGAAGGTCATTCAAGGTGGCAAATCAACTAAATAGGCAATAAATGCAATTATTGTATATTTTAAAAATTGGATATAAAAAACTATGAAGATAACATTCTATAGTTCAATGAACTTAATGTACTAAATGCACTTACTTTGCTTGTTTCAATTTGTATGTAACAGCAATATCAGTCAGTTCTCTATCATAAATGTAGTCTTGGCATTGTGCACAAAAGATGTTTCCAAAGCCCAGGTCAACATATAGAAAATGTTTCTTTGTCTTTGAATGATCTTGTATGTGGCCGGAGTAGCATCCGAAGAATATGCAATGCAAACACGAATGCATACGCGGTCCCGTTTTACCACATGTGAAACACAGACAAGACGTCGCCTACGAAAAATATGTTATGAATTCACTATAACACAAATTTGATTTATTTGTGTGTTATTAGAAATATAAAATATCAGTTACGGCACAAGCCAACTTCGCAAACGACCACACACCGAGATAATAGTTGAAAACAGCTGTTTGAGGTCAAAGACTACTAATCAGCTGATTGCTAAATTATACAGGAAACAATGGTGCTATTCCAATTTTATTAATTCACATTATTATAATACAATTATGTGTGAAAACAGTCGCAAGCCTCATTGTCATGTAATATAAAGCTAATAAAACATATGCGAAGCGACATAATTATAGTATTCCATTTACCTTATATTTCCGTGCCTCATATGAAGTGCATGATACGAAAAATGCGTGGACTATTTTATAAGGATGTGTACCTTTGGCGGCCTTAAAATTATTCAAGTGAATGCAACCATTGTCATTCATTATTTTGTTTGTAAAATAGGAGTGCCGGCTACACCAATTACGTCGTTCAAATTCTACTCGGCTAGAAAGAAAACTTTATATATGCTTAACATTTTATAAATCACCGTTTAATAATCACAAACAATCTAAAAAGTTAATTACAATCACAAAATAACAAAAACCACTACACAGGGCGTGTTCCTTTTCTCACCCTCAAGCCAACCTCGGAACGCTTCTTCGACAATTATTAGGAGTAAGAGATACTGCGGTAAGCGGATCGGCGAGCAAAAGCAATCTGTGATCATCTGTATCTAGTATCTGTGTATCTGTGCTCTATGCTGTGTTAGGGATGCGTTGTTTTTATGAAATAGTTGAATCAACCGTTACAACCGTTGACCGTTTTTTTTTGAACTGGTTAAATTTGATATGTTTTCATATAGGAGTTATTGGTCGTTTTTTTCGCAGCTATAACCTACGTGACTTTTTTTATTGAATGTTGACCAACTAGTTGATATCTTATTAGTTGACGAGTTGAAAAAATAAAATTATAACGTTGCGTTCCAATGACCCATCCCTAGTCTGTGTCTGGATTGTTTCTGCTGATGTCAGTGCTACCAGGCCTAAATTTAACTTTCTGCCATACCTCCTATATTGCCACTCTCTTGTCCAATATTCTACTAATTTTTTGGCCAAAAATGTCTACTTCTGCTTTGGCAACTAGTCGCAACGGATAATTAAAAACAACATCAACTGTGATTTGAGTTTACACCCTTTCCAATGTGTAAGCGAAAAGAACCCTATACTACTCCTTACCGTTTAAAATTGTGTTGTACACTTTACTAAGAAACTATTACTCTCTCCGATTTGGGTATTAGTACAGTAATTACAATTGGTTTCTAGATGTGTTATCTATCGTAAAAATACTATTTTTTTTTACTAAAAATAGTAGGTTTTATTTCATTTCTAATGCCATCTGTTAAAAAAATTATAAAACCAAAATCCAATAATATAAATGCATATAAAAGTGATTTCTTAAATCATGCCAAGGCAGAAATCTTCGCAAACCCCTAAAACATCTCCTTTACTCATAAGATACATTGCCAAAGTTTTTCTCGAATCTAATTCTGCTGAAATTTTAGAATCTACTAAATCGAGCGACATTGTGCAAATTAAAGGTAACTGAATCGTTCTCTGTTTCTGTTAACCTTACCCAAAAGAAAAATAAATTTATGTGATCCTGACTTCTAAAGACTACTTTATTAGTGCTAGATTATCTAGTGTTTTTCAGAATTTTTTAATATTCTATTTTGAAAATTTAGCATTTTTTACATTTTTATCAGATTTTCCTCAAACTTTTGTGAACGCGACTTTATATCCTACTGAGTACTGACTGACTGATGAGTTTGCCCGAGTAGTAAATAAATATGGCCGTCAGTCAGATAATAACGATGTAAACTTTTGTTTACTGTTTTTACTAATTGTAAGACATGATAAGTGAATTTGAAAATTTGTCTCTTGGAGGAAGTAATACTGCTAGTAATCATGCAGATCCTTTTACGCATACCGGTAACATCAATGTCTATTTTAATGTATTACTAACCGAATATGACCTCAATGTAGAAGCTTTGATGTTTATACCAAATACTGTATCAATAAAATATTTTTTCAGAGTTAACTGCTGAACAACAAAAAACATTAATAGAAATAAGACGCCGTAAGACAGAATTGCTGTTGGAAATCCAGGTAAGTAGTAGATCTGCCAATACCATAAGTTTAACAAAGTACTTCAATGCAATAATTTTAATGGTGTTCAAGTGTTATCATAGTAGGATAGTAAAATGGTAAAACATTTCAAAATATAATTCATATGTCATCAGACAAAACAGAATTTTAAAGCTATTTTTAGTGTTAGTTGTATTAATATAATTCATACAAAATAATTCTATGTAAATGAGAATTCAAGCCATAGAAACAGTACCAACCAATTATTAATATGTAAGAAACAAGTTATAAAAGCTGCCGACATGGTAAACATATAAATGTAAATGAGTAAAAACACAACAGCTTCATCCAAGTATGTAACTCCTTAAATGCCTATGAGTCTAACAACATTGAGTCTTTGTAGTTGTTTAATGATTTGTTAAACAGTCCTCAGGGACTTTATTACTACTTATATACACTTAATGACTGCTATTAACCAAGCGAGGTTCTAGATGTGGCAGTTACTTTTGAAACCATTACTATCATAGTATGAATTGTGTCATTATTATTTGCACATGCTTTATATTATTTAAACTTCAATACTCATAATAAAAATAATTGCTTTGATTTTGTGAAAAATGCTTATCATATATGTATTCCGCTAATTATTTATTATTTTTCATTTTGAAATTAGAATACTGCGCTACATTTAAAAATGCAAAATAAACAGATTTCTATGAATTGTTTGGAATTAACAGTTTCTGCTTTGCTTCAATTTAAACATGCTGCTTGATAATCCTGACAATTAATTCTATAACTAATAGTATGAATCCTCATCACCGCTACATAACATAACTCAAAACCAAACCCAGATGGCAAAATCAAATAGTCACAAAATACCATTATAGGGCTTGTTTATTTCTATAGGACAGTGGCAAAATTTCACTAAAGGCTTACAGTTATAAAAAAAATAATTATTTAACAGCAGATTTTGTACAAAAAGGTTTCATGTGGAATTTATGATATGAGAGATAATTTATGTCCAATAATTGGGATACTGAGCCAAGCATTCTTTTTTTCAAGTGCACTATGTTTTGTATGCAATTTCTTATAACTTTAAATTCATACTAAAAATATAATACTTTCATAAAAATATATTTTCTAACTGTAAATGGTTTTATTGAACTTGCTCTGTATGTTTTTGAGATTATTAGGATGTATTTAGATTATATTTAATCATGTCAAAAAGTTGTGAAGACCAGCTATGATTTTGTACATGTATCAATATACACTTATAAATGTGTAGAAAAAAGTACAGTTTTTATCTGAACCTGTTATACTGGATTAATTTGGTTATTCCAAGTTGCGGATCCCGGTCGTTTCATTCAAACTTGCGACCCGGGCAAGTCTGTGACGTAAGCCGTCAATGCTCGTTTTACTATGACCGAGCGAGAGGCATGTAGTACACACAAGGCGGTAAATCGCGCTGCGTCGGGCAATGTCAGTTGCTGTCAGAACGCGGCGCGAGCGTGACGTATTGCCGCGTTCGACATTACGTTTTAATACCGGTACTTTATTATCAATATAGCATACCGCGACCAGTGTTTTGAAGAAAACTATGTGAAGTTAATAGTTACAAAGCTTCTAGATCAATAACGGTATAGTGATTTCATCTAATCAAGTGCTAGTATAATAAAGCAGTGAGTGGTAATTTAGGTTCCTTAGTCGGTCGCCAATAGTATTTTGCGAGGCCTTAAACATAGGTGAAGTTAAACGACTTGCGATGTTTTGGCTTTCTTTTCAAATATGTATAATTTAAGGATTTTTGCGTTAGTTCTACAAATACATGCAAAGGAATTGTAATATTGTACTCTATTTCACATATTATAAACTTTTTAATTTTCACTTTAGGCATAGTTACAGATAATAGATGATATGATACATTGTCTTAATACAGTAATTTGTCAGGTCATTAGATGTAATGGTTGTTAATTCATTGTGATTTAATATTAACAGTAGCCGTTAACTAGTTGGGTATTTGTCACGTTGTGATTCATTGTACGAATGATTGGACATAACATTGTTGTATTGTTACATTTAAATGTGAATGTGGATTACAGTTAGAATTGCAGAGTTTTTATCAAATTTAAATGCTATTGCATCTAGTCAAGGATAATTATTTCTCTATACAAAATTTGTCCCCTACCCTTGCCCTTTTCAGTTTTATACGTTACATTTTAAAGGAAGTCAAGTGAATCTTAAATATTTCTTCATACGAATATTTAACTCCTACTAGACCTTTAGGGGATCCTTGCTTCTTCTTTGGCGAATCTTTAGAGTGTGTCATTCAGTATTTAGATAATTTCTCCTTTTATTATCATGTCCATGTACCAACATAGAATAAAAAACCCACAATGGACAACGGTTGCGTTTAATAGTTTATCATACTTCCGTTGTCGTTTCCGCAAAACGATTGTAAATTTGATAACACGAAACTGCGTCAAGCGTTTATATTTTTTCTAAATAAGAAGATAATTACATTTGGAATGGAGGAATAAATTATTTGCACTTAATAAAAATACATTACTTTCATTTGAGTTTCAAATTCCGCATGTAATTCAGACAGCGTTAGATCGCGACGACAATAATAAACGTACGTATGATAAGTGTAAATGTAAGAAGTATGTCGTAGGCGGAACGCGTAGAGATAAGAGATATGTAAGTAAACGTATAGGTGTATATTTGTCACGATGCCAAAGTGAGGCGACGTTCGTGACTGTCTGTCAGTCGGTTCAGGCGCGCTCGTTAGCGGGCAGTGTGCGCCGAGTGCGATGTGTTTGCACGTGCGGCTTTTGTGCGGCGCGCTGTGGTGGCCGCTGCTGCTGCGCTGCTCCCGCCGCACCTACGACGATGACTACGACCAGGTGTGTGCAGCAAACAGCTTCCACTGCGTAACGAAACCAAAATATGTACATGTCGTTCAGCTTCACCTTACATTGTTTTGGCAAAAAATCGACTCGGGCACCGGCGCGTGCTCGTCGTTACCACTTATTTGCTTTATTATATTTGCAAGTTTTGTTTATATTGTGAGCTTGTAGGTAACGCGGTTTGTAGCTTCACTAATATCGTGAGGTAGTGCCTAAATCTTGCCAGTGTGTGATGTGCAGTGTGCATTAGCACCCGCTCGGAGTTATGTTTATCAAGGCTGGCCCCGGGACCGGCGAAGAGGAGAGACGCGGCTCCGTATCTAATTGGTTTTCCTCGTTGAGACGAGGCGGCAGGAGGAGACGTGAAGATACCACAGTCCCCTCCGGCTATGGCTCTCTGGGCCGAAGAAAAGATGGCACGCAAGCTCGAGGGAAGACGAGATCGGCTTGGGACCTTACTACCGTCACCAGAATGGTCTGTATTTACTAGCTATCGCTTTTTCTCGGAGTATTCGCGTATTGCAATGTCCTCTGGATATTTAGACTTGGCACGCATCCAAATGCGCTGGTTGGATGACGCTTTTTGAGTCTACGTGTAAAATTATGACTATACATAGTTCATTGCTTATTATTGAATCAAAAACACAATATCGTTTTTAGTTACCATTCTGTTCTGATTATTTAAATTAATTTCCATATTGATCGCGCTTAAATTCTTACAAATGCAGGGTAGAACGAAATGATTAAGCGCATCATTGTGTCGTAATTAAAAAGACATTGGCCCTGCGGGCAATTGCTATAACAGTGGCGTTGTGTCTATATTAATATTTAAGTATTAAGTATAGTTATAAGTCTGTTATTTATTTCCATTAGTAAAACGTCAAGCAATAAAATATTTCGTTGTATAATAAATACACGCATAAGTCAGATGTTTTGCAACCAAACGACATACTGATAAGACACGATTTCAAACATATTACTAATATAGTATAACTTCTGCACCTGGTCACCTCGTTTGTTTATATATTTATCAGTGATACACGAGATATAATAAGTATATTTGTTTTATCAAAGCCATATACTGTGAAATCCATAGAGCTTATCAATTCATTCACATTTCACAACACAAATATCATACGTGAAATATCGAAATGTATTTCAATACTATTGTTGAAATAAATATAGTGCTATAAACATGCCTATCATTTCATAAAATTTTAGAAGTGAACTGATAGAAACCTTAACGATTTTTATTCATTACCAATTATCACTAATTAGATGATAAACGTAATACGAGTTAAGGAAAACGTAGAACAGAGTTAAAACACATTTATTTCTTTATATTATATTAAAATCATGAAAATGACTGTCATTGTTAAAAATAAATAAAAATGTTTATTGTTTAATTCATCAGGAAAATTATTGTTTTAAATTGTTATTTTCATTTCGTGGAATAAAATCTTACCCATCATATCCATTCGTAGAATACTAAAATGTACAGTAAACAGTTCTTTTGGAAATAAGAAAATTAGGTCGTTTTCATGCTTTCTTTTCGGCTTTCGAGATTTTATTATTCCGAAAGCGATGTTCGCTTTCCACTGGAGAAACAAAATGTTACTGCGCGCTTTTCTTCTGTCCTTTCCATGTTTGTTTTATGAATACAGCTTATTTTTTAATGCCAGTCTTCATATCTACCGTCAGTATTTTACTGGGGAAATAAATATTGACATCCATCAAAATGCGATATCGTCCGATATTTTCTGGAATAAGCAACTATAGATTGAAGTTTCTTTTCTATTTGGAATTTCATGGATGGTATTAATTCCAATTCATTAAATAGGTACTTTCAGTATAAATGTATATCAAACGAAATATACGACACATTTTGATGTTACGAAAATTATTGCGTTATAGAAAGGCGCTTGATATTTGTATTAAGAAATCAGAATGTAAGCGAATTTATTGTTTAATTTATAGTTCAACATTTAACCTGGTTAAAAATAATTTCATGCTGCAATTTTTATTATATATTAGGTAAATAATAATTGTATTCGATTAGTAAATATTAAAGTATCTAACCGACTTTAAAAAGTTCTCATTTCGTAATATACTTTGTGTATAAAAATTTAAATATGCAACTTTTTACATTTTTTGAAATCACTTTATTTTTAAAAATTTTGACTCATTGTTGATGATCGCATTTTATCTTCACGAAAAGCGTGTAGAGAAAAGTATACGGCCGAGAATTCAAGGTTCAATGTTTTGCGATACTGAACTTCGCGTGCCCTTTGTTTATATGTAGATGAGGACAAACTCGTCATGTTTTTGTATGTAAATTACAATTAGTATATATGTGTCGGTGTGTTTATACGCTGGTTACATAAATAGATGCTTTACTGTGTTTCTGAGATTAAAATATATAAATATATTGTTATCCTTGTCATTATCTTTGACAAAACTGAGATAACAATATGTTTTGAACGGTGTTTATGGCGTTAGCATGGTAAGATCAAGAATGTACTGTCTCTTAGTACTACTTCAAATTTGTTTACTAATATAAAATATTGTTTTGTTAGAATGCGCGAATTTATTGAACACGCTTCAATACTGCAGGCACATTTGCATGTTTCAATTTGCTTCTGCCCGAAGGTTGCCTGCATCCGCCCGCAGACGCCGGCCAATGAGTCAGGCTGTCATTTTTGTATGCGGATGTCTGATACATTGTAAAATAATTGACGCATGCAACTTGCTTGAGATGTTGATAAAAGTAACGTTATATTACAATAATTTAGTACGCGTTGTGACAGAAAATTTAATTTGAACTAACATGATCATTATTTGCTAAACTAACTATTTAGTTCGTGGGCCGTAATCGAGTTTAGGCAAACAAGTTAAGTAACGATGTTATTTACCAAAACGATTAGGTCACGGGTCCACTGGGTCCTAATTTTACCTAACTATGTTTTCAAATGAAATTACTAAGCCGCTTTACCGTAAGGAGTTCAAAACTATGCGTATTTTTAACAACAACTCCTAATGTGTGTTTAACAGCTGTCATTTTTATGTTTATTAATATGTTACAATGCTTTTACGCTAGCCATATTCTTCATTACAGTATATGAAAATGTTCGGTTTGTGCACAAAGCCTGTTCACACAAAAGGCCCAGACGAGGCGCGATGTGACGCGTCACTACACAATGTATGCTTCGGTCGCTGCACACAGCACAACTTGCCCTCATACAGTGCCCTCGCACAATTACTCTGTACACAGGCCTTTTAATCTGTGCGTAGTCCTAGATCGTTATCGTGGGATTTAGTATCTAACAGACTTGTTTTTTGTTTATCATTGTACACATTTTCTGAAGCGCTATTTAATCTAGCTTAGCTATTTTAGCGTTCTTATCAGGAATTTGTTTATTGTATGAACATTACTTCTAGTTCTTTCTTTCATTAACAAAGTTATGGATGTAATGATCATGAATAGTAAAGGATTTATTATATCCCATTTGAAGTATACTTTCTTTATTTTACATCTAATAAAAATAATAGGTTGGCAGAAGACCAAGTCATTCCATGAAGGATTTTGTCTAGCGAGAGTTTCTGCTTGAACTTTCAGCTTTCATTCGATATAAATTAGTCAGTATCAGAGAAATTTTGACCTTGTATAAAGCTTTAAAAGTTTTCCCCGGAATAACGTAACACGTAGTCTGGTGCCAAATACATTTTTCTTGCCAAAATATCAATTTTCAATAAATTCCTTAAATGAGCATTATTTTCTTTGTTCTTCCAATGACATTGAAACATCTTTTAAGCCAATCTTTTTATTTAGTTAATATTTAAATAGCTACAAAACTGAATCCTGCTAACAAAGAAACAACTTCTTTTTAAGTCTTATCCAAAAATAATAACTGTTACTAAATAATACGAAACTAAATATGTATCGGATACTTAGCTGTATAATTAGAAAACTAATGTACTAACTACAGGGGCTATGACAATTTACAGTGTAGAACTAACTCGTTTGCTTTTTAGCACTGGCGTGTAATAATTAGCTTCTAGTTTGCTAATATTTCGGCCCTTGATCCAAAAAAATCGTGTCGGTCGTTAGATATGTCGTGTCACTTGGTTATAGTTTTAATTCAAATAAATAACTAGCAAGTTTTAATAATTTGATTCTTGTCTTTATTAAATGAATAATTACATTAACGAAAGAACGTTAGCTATGTAAGATTAATGAAACATCATATATTTACAAGTTAATTAATCTAACGTTACTTGACAGTAATTAACCTTAATTATTTTGCTATCTGCTAAATGATGAACGCTCGTTTTACATTACACACATTTTTGACAAATATTTTCGTAGTAACTAGTGCAATAATTTATTTATCGGAAATGTTATTTATTTTTATAACATGTATAGGGAACAAGTTGCATAAATGAATGTTGAAGATTTTGTAATAATTTTGCGCTTATTGATAAAAAATATTTATTCCTCTAAAAATATAGTAATGTAATTTTTGCATTATTATAGAATGGATTTACTGTCCCTTTTTTTCCAGAGAGGACTGCTTTATGCATACTTCGCGCCCCGGGGGGGACGCGGCAGTAACGTAGGATTCTCCTCCATAGCGGAGGCATACCCACTAAACCTCTCTGTTCCTCCAACGCATCGGGACGGGACCACGGGCACGCTTTCGCTCTCGTCCGCGGCCCAAGGATTTACTGTCCCTACCCACTCATGAATTCATATTGATAATACTGTATCGTACTAATACATATCACTAATGGAATTAGGTTATACAACTATAAATTCTTGGACATTTTATTTGTCATTTCTGAGTCATACTATCTCACAAAACCATTGCTATTCGCGCATAAGAAATCTGCGAAAACGTTTTCTTTGAATTTCGCTCATTGAACGAAATATAAATGTAGCATAGCAAATATGAATACAGATGGCCTTTTCATCTTGAAACGGTTATTTTAAATTGCAC